TATCCAAAAATTACTAGAACACTATATAGATAGAGAGCTACCAGAAATAAAAGCTGGGTCTAGAAGAGGCTGTGGCACTAGGCCTAATTTCAGATGGATCTTGGCTAAAAGCAGAGTACCAGAGGAATGTCTATTTGTGTTTCATTGACTATGCAAAGGCATTTGACTGTGTGGATCACAATAAATCAAGGCTGACCTTGAGAAGAATTGGAACACAGAATACCTGATTATGTGTAGGAGAAACCTGTACATAAACCAGGAGACAGTTGTCACAACAGAGCAAGGAAACACTTATGGTTCAGGATCAGGAAAGCAGTGTGTCAGGGAGGTGTCCTGTCTCCATACCTTTTCAGTCTGTATGCAGAACAGATAATTTTGGAGGCTGAACTTAATGAGGAGGAATGTGGCATCAGGATTAGAGGAAGGATCATCAACAACCTGCATTATTCAGATAACATAGCCTTGCTTGCTGAAACAGAACAGGACATGAAGTGTTTGCTACAGAAGGTCAAGGACTGCAGTCTTCAATATGATTAAAGTTCAACATCAAGAAAAGAAAGATTCTCATCACTGGTCCAATTGACATACCATGATAAGTGGAGAAGAGATTGAGATTGTTAACAATTTCATCTTGCTCAGTTCCATAGAAACAATAAGGGATCTAACCAAATGGAAAAATATTCCCTGTTCATGGATAGGAAGACTGAACATTGTGAAAATTACAATCCTACTAGTTCAATATGGATTGAGGCTCAACGTCAGGAAGACAAAGATTCTCACCACTGGGCCAATTGGCAGCATCAGTATGGATGGTGAAGGGATTGAGATTGTTAACAGTTTTAGTTTACTTGGTTCCACAGTCAGCACTCTTGGTAACAGCAGCCAGGAAATCAGGAGACCAATTGCATTGAGAAAGTCGGCTGTGAGGGACCTCTCAAGAGTACTGAAGAGCAACGACGTCAGACTGGAAACTAAGGTGCGCCTGATTCGGGCTACAGTCTTTGCAATTACATGCTATGCATCGGAGAGTTGGACAATGAATAAGGATGATAGAAAGAGAATTGATGCCTTTGAGCTGTGGTGCTGGAGAAGAGTGTTGAATATACCATGGACTGCTAGGAGAACAAACAGGCTTGTCCTGGAGAGGGTGAAGCCGGAATGCTCCTTGGAGTCAAGGATTCTTAAGCTTCGTCTGACATACTTTGGACATGTTTCAAGGAGGGACTGGTCCTTGGAGAGGGACATCATGTTTGGCAGAGTGGAGGGACAACGCAGGAGAGGAAGACCCTTGATGAGATGGATCGATACTGTGAGTGGAGTGGTGGGAATGAGTGTGTTTGACACAGCGAGGTTGGCACAGGATAGAACAGTGTTTAGGGCTCTCGTACATAGGGTCACTATGAGTCACAAGCGACTCGATGGCACATAACAACAACAACAACAACAACAACAACCTGTTTTTAGTGACAATTAAACTGAGCTACAAGGGTCACTAATGTTGGTCCATAAAACCCAACTCATTGCCGGAGAATTGATCCTGACTCAGAGAACAGAGCAGAACTGTCCCCATAAAGTTCCTACCAATTTACCTTGTTTCTGTATCATGTTTATACTTTCTCTGATTATTAATCTCAGACTTAGATTTTTATTCAAAACATGGTATTTTATCATAACTGGATAGTATGCATTTACTGTTCATATATTTACTTATTATATACCTTCTCCTTTTGGCTTTGAGCTTTGTGAGGATATGCTCCATACCCTGTTAATGTAGTGCCTCTAATGCTGTCAGTCATACTTAACTGATGGGAAAATTGACTAAATGATCAAGGTAGGATATTAACATTGAATTGACATATTAAATAAGACCCTCCATGAGATGGATTGATTTGGTGAGTGGAGTGGTGGGAATTAATTTATTTGAGATGGAGAGGTTGGCACAGAATAGAATGGCGTTTTATGGCTCTTGTACATAGGGGCATTATGAGTTGCAAGCAACTTGATGGCACATAACAACAACAACTAGTTCAATGCAAAACCAATACAGATGCCAAATTCTTTCTTTAAAGAGACTTTCCAGTTTCATTTGGGAGAGAGATCCACAATAAGCAAAGCTCTTCTAAAAAATGAAAAATGAAGTATGAGACATCTCACTCCCTGATCTCAGAACCTGCTACACAGCCATAGTTATCACAACAGCATGGTCCTGGTAAAGTGATTGACAAATAGATCAATGGAATACAATTGAGAACCTAGAAATCTATGTTGTTGTTTGTTGTTAGGTGCTGTCACGTTGTAGACGACTCATAGTGATGCTGTGAATGAAAGACCTGAGCACTGTTCATAGAGGACTTTGGAAGTGGATGCCACTCCTGCTTCCACGCTTGTTTTAATCGAGAAGTTCCACCAAACACTGTCCACCATGGTTAACCTTTATGACATTTGGCAAATTGGTGTCACAGCAACCACAAGTTAGAGCAGTACACCAATGCACAGACTAGTGCTATACTATGTAGAAAAATGTTTGACAAAAAAGAAATTTAAACCAGGCCTGAGGGCTGCCGATTAAAATCACCCACTTTGGGCTTGGTAGTAAAACTTTCTGTCCACTAGGCCAACATAGCTCCTCTATGTTGTCGTTGTTATTATTGTTAAGCGCCGTCAAGTTGTAGACAGCTCATAGTGACCCTATGAACAAAAGACCTGAGTATTGTTCATCCATTTATTTACCTATAGCCAGCTGATACTTGACAAGAAAACAAAACCCATTAAATAGGGAAATGACAGCCTCTTTAACATACAGTGCTGGCAAACCTGGACAGCTACATTTAGAAAACTGAAATAGGATCCACTTCTTACACCATATACAAAAAAAGCTACTTGAAGTGGGTCCTTTGGGTTTTTTGGTCATTCTACATAAAGGTTTGTCAGTTTTGTTTAAAATTTTGAAGGAGTAAACTTTGATTTCTTGGGTCTCTGTATACTATTCTGTTCTGTATTATTTCACATTTTATCCTTTCTCCTTCCTGCTCATCTTTACCTTAGCTGGCTCCTCTAGTGCCCTCCTTCTGGGGCCTCTGTGTCCTGGACACTCCCTGTGTGCTCAAATAGGCTGAGTATGTCGACTCTGTTGTGGTCATCAACCTTGCTTGTGTGGAGCCTCAGGGTCTACCAGAGCTGAAAGCTCAGGGTCTTCTCAGTCCTTTCTGGGTTTGATCTAACCTGAGCAGCCTGTTGCCCCTTTAAATTTTTCAGGGTGTGTGTGTGAGCTTTCAGAGTCCTTTGTCTCTTGGCACCCACAGGCTTTCCAGCTTTTTCTGTCTGCTTCTTCTCCATTTGTTACTCTGCCCAGGAGCCTGCAGCAGTGTTTGCCATCAGTGTTTGCCCACCACCTGCCTGGGAGGCCTACAAGCTCTAGAAAGCTCGAGCCCCCGGCCTATCCCACAGACAGGTCCAGACACACAGGCATGGCTCTCTGAGAACCAGGCTGGCACCTGCAAGCAGCACTGGGAATGTGGTCTTGCCATGCTGGGATGATCTGTCTGGCAGGTGAGCTAAGCTACTGTAATACTGCCACCAGATCTTTAGCCTCTTGCTTTTTAAATATTCTTCTGGTTGCTGTCATGTTAAAATTAAATTTCAGATATTGGAAATGTTACCTTTGCCCGCTCGGCCATTGCTCTGGAGAGTTGTGAAGTTGCCTACTTACTCCTTCCTGCTGGCATCACTGGACTGGGTTTACCTGACCCTTGTCAGTAGGCAGAGGGGCTGTCCCGGGACCCCTCTGGAGGAAGTGCTGATGATCTCATGGGCCAAGGGTGATCCACACAGGCAGTGCCCGTCTTATGTCTCCTAGGGGCCTGGCGTATGTGCCCACACCTGCCTTCTGTGAGTCAGTGAGTGTGTGGTGAGTCCCTGAGTGAGCATGGTCAGGGTCTGGGGTGGAGTGTGGAGTGTGTATGACCTGTGTGTTGCTGTTTTACTCTCTGTGTGCACCTTTGTGTGTGTCTCTGAGTGAGGGTGTCAGGGTCCCTGAGCACATAGATTTGCTTTCTAAGAGTGGTGTGTGGCTCAGTTCTCACCTCTCTGCCAAAGGAGGCAGCTTGCTCTTGAGATGAGTGCATCTAATTGTGACTGTGGCCATCCTCTGCCCACAGCAGGGCCTGACAGGAGCCTTTGTTCTGGGCAATGTTCTCTTGTCCCTGGATGTGGTTTTGAGGTAGTATCACCACTTAGCCAGAAGGAAGGCTGAGGTGTTTCGATTTACGATCCTGCATGATCTCTGCTGGACTCTCATTTGGGGTGTCTGTGATGATATTGCTGTCTGTATAGACAGAGTCCAGCTATGATTAGTCCCTGCACTGGCTAGGGCTCTGTCCTCATTCAGTGAATCCTGTGACGGGATTTAAAGAGATAAGAAAAGGGTTTCCAGTCTCTTTTGGAAAGAGACCCAGGGCCTCAGAATCCTGAGCACAGCACCCACAGAGATGTGTGCATGGACACAGACGGATCATAGGCTTAAGGCAGAGGTGCAGCACTGGGGCCCATGTGCCAGACCCACCTGCACACAGAACAAGTCTCCATTGGCACTGATCTGCCCTGCTGTGAACTTGGTGTTCACAGGGGCGTCCCCTAAGCCCAGGCACACACTGATGTGCACTCTCTCCTGTATGCTCATGGAATCCTTCCTTTTATGCTCAGTATGGAGAAGGCCAACACGGCCCATCCTGGAGGGCTTGTAGTTTGGGTTGGAAGCCAGATACAAATAGGTCTGCCAGCAACTGAGTGATGGGTGGTGATAAGCCTTGATCTCTGGAGTGGAGAAGGCTGAGGACCCTGTACTGGGTGCTGGGGCCAATGGACTGAGGCTGTGAGGCAGGGTGCTAGGGGGCAGGGATGATGATGGTGCTCACGCCTGGTCCAGTGGCTGCCTGGAGCCAGTCACCAGGGATGACCAACCTGCTGGCCTCGACTGCTTATCTCACCACTCTCCTCCGCAGGATCCCCTTTTGCCCGTGCCAGCCTCAAGAGCGGGAAGAATGACAGTTCCTCATACTTCCGGCGGAAGGAGAAGATGTTCCGCTTCTTCATCCGCCGCATGGTGAAGGCGCAGAGCTTCTACTGGGCAGTGCTGTGTGTGGTAGCACTCAACACGCTCTGCGTGGCCATGGTGCACTACAACCAGCCGCAGCGGCTGACTACTGCTCTGTGTAGGTATCAGGTACTGGACCTAGTGCCAGGCTCTGCTGGGAGAGGAGCTGGAGACTGGCCAGACCCAGTGGGGCAGAGCAGAGCCAGAGGGGGTCTGGTGTTGCCTATGGTCAGATTCAGAGTTGCCCAAGGCTAGCTCCTGGGCCCAGGGTCCCAGAATGCTCTGATCTGGCAGGTTCAGGAGAGGACTCAGTGTGGACTCAGAGTGGGGCCTTAGACCAGCCAACCAGGGCACCTGTCTCTGGAGATGCCATGACAGACTCTGGCTCCCAGGCGTGTTCCCTTCCTTCCCTTTACTTGCCTGGATCTGGATATGGGTTGCAATCCTGAACAGAGCTAACCAAGGGACAGGCCCCAGGAATGAAATTATGAGACCTAGTCCCAGACAGGGCCAGGAAAACTTGGGTCAGAGCCCTCTTATGCTGGGCCTATGACCTTGTGGGACTTGGCAAGTCTGTCACTCGAAAGAAGCCTGAGACAAGCAAGTGAACGTCCTGTGAAGGCATCGTCTTCTGTCACCTGCCTTCTTCCTCTGTTCCCCAGTCCCCTTGGTGCCAGCGCCTTCCAGGCCAGTGGTGCCTGGTGCCTCTGCTCTCTGTCAGAGCCTGGGCTTGAGGCCAGGTCATACTTGTACTGACCTCCTGGTGGCAAGGCCATGTGAAGACACCTCAGAGCCCCACTCTGAGCTGGTCTGCAGGCCTTGTCGGTCGCCACTTGTACCTGCTAGACACGCAGAGGAATGGCGGCCTCACTCAGCTGAGGTACGGCAGAGTGTAAGGGTAGGCGGGATTCTGGGCTCCTCTTTGAGAGCTCCAGCTTGGTCTCCTGAGCAGCCTCATGTCCAGGGCCCAGCATGTAGGTGGTAGGATTTCCCACCCCTAGAGTCCTTCTTCCTGAGAACCACTCTCTCATGGGGCCTGAGGTGCAAACATGCTGGGGCTCTGCCTCTTGAGACTAGGAGACTAGGAGCAGAAGCCTTCCAGGCCATGCATTTGCTCTCTGAGTCTGTGAGGTTGCAACTTTGTGTGGTGAGATGGTGTGAGCTAGCCCTCTGCCTGTCCAGCTGGACCCTTGTGCCTGACTTTTCCTAGCTCAGCCTACCTAGCGTGGGCAGTGGGGTTTGCTGGCTGGTTGCTCTGCCAGGCCGTGGGTGTGACTTACCTAGGCTGCAGAGAAGGTGTCCTCTGTACACCTCTCCTGGGCCAGGACGGCACATGTGTGTCTGAAAGGCTGACATATGGTGGACTGCTTAGTCCTAGGTGGGAGAGATGCACAGGTCGCATCTTTAGCAGAGGCTGCAGGGAGCTGCTGGTCCTGGGCAGTGGAAGCCTTGGAGAGTTGGGGGTGGAAGCCAAGTTTGAGGACACACAGGCCTACATGAGGTGGTGGCCCCTTGTCCTCTTGCACCCTTCATCAGGAGCTGCTCCTCCTTATAGTCCACTCCTCCACCAAGTCTGAGCCCTCCAGCTGTGTGCTGTGGCTGCCAAGGTTATCTACTGCCCTGAGCTGCTCCTGGGCCCTGCTGGCATCATGCAGTGTTTCCAGGTGGCATTCAGGACAGAAGGTCGAGACCACTACCTCAGCACAAGACTGACCCCCACTTCACTCTGGAGTCTAAAGTTTCTGGTTGGTGGAGTCTGGTGACTTGATCCTTCTGAAGTCCCTGTCTCTTCAGCTGGCTTGGGGCTGTGTTTGAATTTCCAGACAGGCTGCTGGCAGAAGGTACATAGACCTGGTGGAGCAAAATCTGAAGACTTCTGGCTGGGCATGGTGCTGGGAGTGCAGAAGCAAGGCTCACCTCCTAGGTGCTATGGGAGTCCCTAGGAGTGAGGTGGACACCCACATTCTCTGCGAGTCTCCAGTGTGTGGACACTCACATTCTGTGGGAGTCCCCAGGGGTGTGGACACTCACGTTCTGTGGACTCCCAAGGATGTAGACACCTAGGTGCTATGGGAGCCCCCAGGGGTGTGGACACTCATGTTCTGTGGAGTCCCCAGGGAGTGGCCACCCAGGAGCTGTGGGAGTCCTAGGGGGTGGATAAGTCAAGCCTCTGCTAAGAGGGGCTAAAAAAGCCTGATCAAGGCCAGAGTGTGGGCAGGAAGTAGAAACCAGGCACAAGCCCCTACTTGGCTCTTCCTAGGGGTGACATGCCTCTGAGATGCTGCCCCAGTCCTCCTGCTGTGATCCTTGCTCTTTGGCTCCAGATCCAGGGAGGTTACTTCAGGCCAAGCCCACCTGTATGGCCCTACGTTTGGGATTGCACAAGCCCCTCTTGGATGCTTTGGTCCTTGACTCTTTCCAAGGCCTTGACCTTCAAAGTCAGGTGTTCCCCCTGCATCCCCGGATTGGACCAGTGATTAGGGGCAGAGCCCAGAGTCTGGTACCCCCCCTGGGCTGCAGCCAGGGGCAGGAGGAGGTGCATACTAACCCTTCCCTTCTCTGGCTTCCCCTAGATTTTGCAGAGTTTGTTTTCCTGGGTCTCTTCCTCACAGAGATGTCCCTGAAGATGTACGGTCTAGGGCCCAGAAGTTACTTCCGGTCCTCCTTCAACTGCTTTGATTTTGGGGTGAGTGAGACACTTCCTGGGAATCCAGAATGCTGTTCTTGACAAGGCACTAGACCAGATGGCTCTCGGAGCTGTCAAAACCCAACAGATCTGGTCCCCATTCTGTGTCCCTGTGCCCTTCTGGCTCAGGAATATAGGGAACTGTCACAACGCTTATAGGACAGTGCAGTGCAAGGTGATGCTCAGGAAGAGGGCACATATGTGGGTATGCACCTGCCCGCACCCCAGGGCTGACTCTGCTGTGTTGCAGGTCATTGTAGGCAGCATTTTCGAGGTGGTCTGGGCAGCCATCAAGCCAGGAACCTCATTTGGAATCAGTGTGCTTCGAGCGCTGCGGCTGCTGCGAATCTTCAAGGTCACCAAGTACGTGGTCAGCTGTCCTGGGGTTGGCTCCTTGCTAGGGTTGGACATGTAGAGGGAACCTGGAGTGGAGAGGAGCTAGCAGTACAGCTTCCGCTCTGGGATTGAGAGTGTGCTAGGTGTGCCACACCTGCCCAGCCCTACCCTTCTGAGACTTCTGACTCTGCTTTTGAGGCTCCTGCCTCAATTATCCATCTTTTTTGTCAACCTTCAATGAATGGCTTTGTTCTGTGGTCAGTGAAGGAAGCAAACATTGTTACCTTCTTGATTCTAAATTTCCCTCCTCAGGAGAGAAGAGGGTAATCTTTGGATAGTTGACTAGATGTGGGGCCCTCAGCCCTGACCTCCCTCTGAATATCCCTGGTGCCCACCACCTCCCATCCCTATAGGCCCTCTCCCTCCAATCCTCTATCTGCTGTGGTGGGTCCTCTCAACTTCACAGTGAGACCCCCCTCGTAATGAATATTTCATCCAGCAAGAGTCCAGATGGCTTGAGTAGGGGAGGCCCGCAGGCTCCCCAAGTTCTCTGGCCCCATTGTTCTCTGGCCTCTGAGGAGGATCATCACTATACTCTCAGGTAACTGTACATGGGGCATTTGAGGAGACCAGCGTGAAGATAACAAACTTGTGTTCTGGAAATGTGGGTGGCTAGGAGAGAATGAATTGGCTGGGGGGTAGGGTGGGAAGAGGATGACTGAGGGGGAAGGAGGGTGGTGGGGAGAAGGAGAGTGGATGGAAGGGAAAGAGGGTGGCTGGGGCAAGTAGGGTGACTGAGGGGGAAGGAGAGTGGCTCGGGAGGAAGGG